ATACGGTTGATATGTGTGTTTTCGGTGATGATTTTCTTCCTCATACTTATCTTTCTCTCTCTCTGCGGCTGCCTATTCTTACTCCAACATGCGAAGACTTATAATAAAAACGAAGACGACTTATACGCGGCATATCATCGAAGGTCAGAGATACAATCAATCATGACCTAGAAGAAGATGGACTTATCATCCTTAGCTATGATATACATATTTTTCAATTGTCTTGAATTCTTCATTTGTTGGTGTTTAACTTAAACGAGTTTTGAAAACTCTTTCTTCTTATTTTTTGTTTAAATATATATTATTGGGGTTTAACAGTTGTAATTCATTCATCTTGCCATCTTTCTGATAAAAATGTTATCCCTGAGGCCTGAATCTTTTTCCTCGGGCTTTGCGTGCGTAGTTTCTTCAATTTCTTAATTTGCTCTTGCAATCATTGATTGATCATTAAGATTAATTGTGTCAATTAACTTCCTTACAGACGATTTGAAGAGCGTATAAATTAAACATGCACATGCTTCCCCTTCAAAGCATTTATATTCTCGGTTTCAAGATTCCCTTTACGAATTCTAACTCCTTCACGATTAGTTTTTTTTATATAGGTTATTCTGTGTTAAAAAGAAAACAAAATTTGTTACGATGAGATAACTTCTTCATTTAATGGGAAGTGGTTGGTAAAAAAGTAGACGCAACCATTGACTTTTTCAATTAATCTTCATGAAAATTTATGAGGTAAATTACGGAGAGAGAGATGATCAACTACTATAATGAAATATATTGTAGATTTTTGTAACAATTAAACAAAAAAGAACTAACAAATCGACCTAAATCCCATAATTAACGAGCAAACCATTAAAGTCTTCAAACTCGATTGACGATGTGGTTGGATCCCTGTTCCAAGTCGTCACTGATCATCGCGTCGGTTCTCAGAATAGTATGTGTATGAGGGCTTATCAAGAGATAGCCACTGACGAACATAATAAAATACATAGATGACCAAAAAGACAAGGTAAAGGAATATGGCTCCGACCGTCATATACATTAACATTAAGTTGTCTTCAGAGGAATGTTCACCATCATCATCCATGGTCAAGCGATCGACAAAGTGTCCAACAAATTACAACAAGTTTCTTTGTGATAATATATAGCTAGGTTTTTAATTGTTCCTATAAAAAGTGACGCACTTACTTCTATATATATAGTTTGTTAGCAATAATTCGTGTTGTAATCAGATTAGAAGATATGATTTTGATTAGTAGTTAATACATATTAATTATAATAATAGTTTTTAAAGATAATTGTCTCCGGAAATATACAAATATACGTAACTAAAAGATTTTTGTTGGATTAAAAAAATTTAAGATATTTGTTGTATAAATCTGATCAGGTCTTTAAAAAATAAAAGACTAATGAAACAAATCCTATAAAAGATAGTTTAAGTAAAAACTAAAGGAAATCCAATATTCTACCAATATATTTACAATCAAAATTATCTATTTGTTTGGATAGATGATACATTTAGAAGAAAAAAAAAAACTCTTTGTTTTCTATACAAAGAATGCCATTACTTATATCATGTATCCAAACAATTTTATCATTAATTCTATATTATTTATATAACGAAACACAACTAAAAATTAGAACATTAATTATAAAATAAAAAATATCCGTATAATATTTTCCATTTAATGATATAGATAATTAGAAGATTTGGTTAAGATTTAAAATTATGATTTTCCAATCATTTTTTTCTAATTTTTTAGTTGTTTTGAATCAGCATATAATACATAAATTTAAGAAAAATCTCAAAAAAATTCTACATCTATTGTGTTTCAAAAAAAATAAAACAGACATATATTATTCAATTAAATAAAAAAAGTGTGTTCAAAGTACTACATCAGCTAAAATGTTTAGATACTGATTCAAAGTCATATTATAAATAAGATCAAAATGAATACAAACCCGAATGGACATGAACCTTAACTTACAAGCATCCAAATTTAAAAGTTTGTATACAGTTTAATTCTATTTTTTAGTTAAACTCTTAAAAATATTATAATTGATATATTTAAAATCAATAAAAATTATAAATTATGAATATTTGAACATATAAAAAAATTAAAATAACATAGCATGGAATATATTGCGAGAACTAGGCGTTATATGGCAGAACGGATTTTAATCAATATTAATAAAAATTTAAAATAACATTAACCAACTGCTTTGATACGGATTAAATCTTTATTTTATTATTTCTAAATCTTCATTTTATTAGACATATCTAATCAGACTGATTTAGTTAAGATTACATTAAACAAATTTTTATATATAATACATATCATAAAAAATTAAAATTATAAAATTTAGAAAACAAATCGTCGTGCGGATTAATTACTTCTAGGTATATTTGGATCCTTACACAGCGCATGGGCCAAACCCTAATGATTTTGAGTTCATAATTATTAACGATTCAGAGCCAATCTAAAATAATAATAAAAGGAATACCACTAAAGTTCGTTGATAAAAACTCTTGAATTGAACTAAGATTAAAGTTCCATTGTCGAATGCCAGAAGCGTAACAATTGAACTGGAGCCCTGATTGACTAACAAACCATTAAGTATTAAAAAAAAAAAACCCTAAAAAGAAAGTAATCATAATTTCTGAGATCATTGTCTCCAGAAACCAGTCGCCGTTTCATATCTCCTGAATGATTTCCCCAGCCGGTAACCTCCCGAGTTCTATGTCGCCTAAGCGACAGTCTTCCTTATTAACATCACCATTAGTCAACCATTCCAAAAATAAAATCCACATGATTACATAAATGCCGACAAAGTAAAAGACGTAGACGATATACGTGCTCGCGAGATCTATTATATGATCACGCCGTACGTCAAACGATAACAACGGAGGAGGTGCCATAGCTTCCCTTCTTAATATTTAGCTGAGCAAATAACTAAAACAATTGTAACACGATGTTTAGATATATTACTGCGACTTCTAATTCGATCCACATTAGAAATCTTATTGAAATAAAATAAAGTTATAACATTTATCTAATCTAGATTTTGTTTTAAAAAATATTCTGTTAAGAGATATTCTTTTTAATTTCATAAAAATATATCCACACCAAAAAACGGAAAATTAAATACGAGTTTGACTTTAATTAGTTGTTAGTAAATTATTTAGACACAGCTGGAATTATCCATTACTTAACTAAATCTCCTAATCTATATGTGTATATTTAAATATATATATTATATATCTTTTTATTTCTATATAAAGAGTTTCACAATTAATTTCATTACTTCTAATCAGGATTCAACCAAAACTATTTTGGACTCGTCTCGCTAACGCCATGTATACATCACGATATGAAGAAACTGTAATAGTGTTGCTTTGGGTAATGGTGGTGATGTCCATCATTGTTTTTCTTTTCGGCTCTTGTCTTTGTGTTAAATTTTGCTCGCGGACGTGTAGTGAGAAAGATGGCGATATTGTGCATCTCAATTTCAATCCCTGAAACAAATCCACGAGGTTGAATGATGGACGACGATCAAGGCAAAGAAAATAGTTTGGGAATGTAGATACATTATTTGATTAGGAATTTGGGAATGGCTTTTATTCTTTGTAGGTTTTTTTTTTTTTTGGTTATAGAATTGGGTTTTAAAACACTTGCTTGATTAGCGTTTTTATTGTTGTTACCTTCTTTCTGTTTTCTTAAGATATTATTTCTTATGGAATTTGTTTCATCAGTCTTTCTTTGCTTTTTTTTTTCTAAGGATATCATCAGATTACATCAATGATCTTTGCGGTTATGAATTTATCTTCCCGAGACAATAATCTTTAGAAATTATCTAATATTATTCTATATATATATATATATTTTCCACAACGTATCAAATCATATTTTTCTTATCGGATTATTTGATTTTATTCTAGTAGTATTCTACCTATATGCTTCGGAAATATATTTATCTCATAAAAGGCAATCACTAGGTACTAGCAAACCCCAACTACAAAGATGATCGCGAATAGAAAAAATGCACGTTTTGGAATGTTCTGAGAAAACCAACTTGTCTTATACCAAAAGACTGTTGAAACACTCGGATGTATAAGTTAAGACATGTTTTTTTAAGTTGAAAGTAGATCGTTAAAAAGATTAAGTCATAGGAACTGGTCATCTTGTGTAGAAGAAGTGTCAGGAGGATGAGGAAGGCAAGAGCGAAGTAAGAGAGTAGAAAGTATTATGATACATGGTTTGATGCTGGTTAGTTCCGGTTATCTCGATGCGTGTTTAGTGATTTAATTTGTGTTGAATATATATAAGCTCAAGTGTACAATAATTAGAGATTAGATTGTAACAAATTCAGTTGTAGCTGAATTTACTTCATGCTATTTATAAAGTGATGTAACTTAATTGATATATCAGCTAATTAGCAAAATAATCAAATGCATGACTGAGCAGCGAACGGAATAAAACTTTTGTGGAATAATGAAGAAACCAAAAAAAAGCAGAAAAAATAAATGCTTAGCAGATTATATAAATGAAATATTGTTTAATATGGTTATACTATCAAATATACCCGTAGTATATAGCGAAATTATTTTTCAAAAACTAAAAAACCTGAATATAGGAAAATCATGTTTTCAAAACATAAAAATAAACTAGTGTAGCATTCATCATCTTAGCTCAATTTTTTGTTGGTTTTGTTTTAGGATATACACAAATGAATCCTATTGAATAACACAAAAAGGAAAAGGAAAGTTTATCAAAAAGAAACGTTGACAATAGGCTTAAAATCGTAACATTTTGTTCAGAAAAGGTTACGTAAAAGCCCATATGTGTTTTATTTAGCCCATCACATATAAAACGTAATGTAATTGAACCGGAATGGTTGGTTAGTATTATTGAACCAACATCCTCTTTCATCTCACACCTGTATTGCAAACGTGGACGATGCAAAACAAGTATAGCATTCTCTGCCACCTGCAAAATCCCCACTAACAACAGTATTTATTGATCGTTGCCAAAAGGAAAAATTGAGTCTGGATCATCAAACAAAACCACCAAAAGTAATCGGAATTTTTACAGAAACAAACAAAACAAGTGGGTCTTCTTAAACAAAACTTCGTGTGCCTAGCTTCTTAATCAGAGATGGGAGATTCTAGAGCAGATGTGGGAGCCCTGCAGCCAAGGAGATGCCTACGACTCCCAGTGCAACAACAGCTGATGCCTTCTTGGTAGAAATATTATAGGATACACTCCACAGATATGCAAATATCATCTTCAAAATCAGTGTTGCTGCTGCTGTAACACCAAGTCTGATTTGCCAATTGGGAATGAACCCTCCCAGAATTGGAACCAATCCTCCAACTATCACCCATGGGAGTGAATTGAGCCCTTTAAGTAGGGTTGGCTTGAATTTTGCACCTTTGTCCTGTATAGTTAAACAAAATGAAATTCAAACTTAATATTAGCAACACTAACTATTACTAGTAAACTCTATCAAATCATTTATAGAGAAATTCTTACCGTTGATAACCGGGAAACTATGTTATTGAAGATTGTGCTTATGATTAGACCACACAAGGAAGCAAAAGCACTAAGTGCAATGAATTTTACATTCTCGTTGGTGCAAGTTACCACAAAGGCCGTGATGGAGACGAGAGCCCCCATAAACACTCCAAGTTCGTCTCCAGAGATGTGCCCTTTGGGAGCCACTAATGGCCTCATCCAAAGGGGAAGGGTCTCTGGAAACTTCTGTAGAGGTGACCCTACTGTGAGCTTGTCATGTGAACAGTCCAGAAGGAGATTCTGAAAAATATAAGAGAAATTATGATATCTTGAATTTCTACCAAACGCAAATAGTGTTTAAACAGTGTGCTAGTCTACCTTATTAAGGAGTGTATGGAATTCTTCTTGGAAGTAGTCTCTTTCTCCCTTCAAATCACCTTTTCGGCTTTCCCAAGAAGCTCTCTCCTTTTCCACATGAAAATGAAAGTAACAAACTTACTGGAAAGTTCTAAAGAGGGACTACTTAAAAAGTTATAAGTATAATCACAAGTTGAGTTACCTTCTCGTAACATTCCTTGAATGCACTAAGCTCTTCAATACAACTCTTGTTTTCTTTGGAGAGCGCATCTCGCTTGTCTTCAAGTTTTTCTCGCTCTACCTTCCATTCGTTCTCCTTCAACTCCATGTCATTCATTAGTTCATTGATTTGCTTCTCGTTATCCTTCAAGATAGTGGCCATCTCTTTGAATAAATCTTGTCTTTGCTCCTCATTCTTTCTTTGCAACAAATGATGCTCCATCTTCCATTTGTTTTCCTTCAACTCTATATCCCTCTTTAAGATAGATAACATTTCTTGGAGCTCTTGCCTTTGCTCCTCATTCTTTCTTAGCAACAAATTCTGCTCCACAATCTTTTTCAACTCTAAATCCCTCTTTTGTTTGTTAACATGTTTCTCGTTGTTCTTCAAGATGCTTGCTGTAGAGTTTCTTTGTTCCCATTGTTGTATCAGGGAAACAATCTCCTTAGGGCTCTCATCACCAAGAAAACTTTCCTGAAAATTTTCCAATCAAAGAAACTTTGTCACAATGTACCAAAATGTCTATAAACATCTAAAAACCCATGAACAAAAGACAAAGTCTGTAACATCGCAAGATGATTCGTCCTCTTTCATATCAAGCTTTGAAAAATTTCCAGAAATTTGTGAAATGAACTTTGTCAAAATATTCATTTCACGAAGACAACACAGGTAGATACATCATTCTAGACAAGTTTTTTGATCAAATCATGCACCACAAATGTCTAAACATCTAAAAAACCATTATACAAAAGAGAAATTTCTAACCTCCAGAGCCTGAATCGTAGCATCTCCAGTCAAAAACGAGTCCTCCTCTTTCTTTTCTTTGATTAGGTTTACATGTTCAAGTGCACTTTTAGCTACTTCCAATCTCCTTTCTAAATCTTTGATCCTCTTAGTCCATTTAACGGATTCTTCTTGGAGCTCCTTGTTCTTTGTTTCTCCCACCATGGTGAAACCCACAAGAAAATCAAAATGTAAGCAAAAGAACAAGGTTTTGGCGAAGAAAGAAAGAAAGCATCAAAAGAAAAGTGGCGAGAGCAAGAAGATACAGTTATTGGCGAAGAAGAAGACGAAAACCAAAAAGGTGGGGAAAAAATGACACGTGTCAGGAACCATTTCTTTTCTTTTTGTCGTCATATGGCGTCTCGAGTATTAATGTGTATTAATTTAATTTTATATGAATTTTTGTTATTTTTATATAAATATTTATATAATTTTATGGTACAAATTTTTCTTTTAGGATGGAATATTAGGAAGAATGGATAATTTCTAGTAATTTCTAACGGATATATACAATAATTAAAATGTAAAGAAAGTTAATATCCAATAATGGGGAAGAGGAAGCAGCAGGTGATTTTTGGTAATTTTAAAATAAATTTATTTAGTTTCCAGCAAAAACAGAAGTTAATGTACCCGGATAAGACGTTTCAGCGGATGTATCCGGATAACCCGGGTCTGGTTCTTAACAACGTATAGATTTTTAAACCACCGTGAAGTTTTTCATCATTATAGAAACTTTCTTGACGAATGAAGAAACGACAACGTTTCTTCTCGCCGGAGTTTTGCTCTTTTGCAGAGACAGCAAGAGAGAGAGTGAGAAAGTGACAGTAAGAGTTAAGTAGTCGCGCGCGTGTTTCACACTCTCTCTCTTTTTGTAACAATCCTACGACGTCGTTTGCTTCATGCCGCGATCGTACGAGGCAAAGTCGGAGGATTTTTTTTTGTTAGTTTCCTTCTTTTGTCTTTCAAACTTTTGTATATGACTGACTATATATGGAGCCAAAAAGAAACATATAATGAAAACATTATCAAAAGTATAAAAAAAAATATTATGCTTTTTGTGGCTAGTTGTTTTCGCTGGGATACGATTCGTTCATTTGAATTCAAATGAGTAGGTCTTAGTCTTAGTAGCTAGACCAAGTACTTGGCATTGAGCTTAAATTAGGTTACTCTACACCGTAAACATTTGAAAGTTGGAACTTAAATTTTCTTGAGAAGAATACAGTATATCGAATTTGTATCTAGACTCTAGAGTATACGTACGGTACACCAATACCATGCATTACACATTTGTTACATTATGCAACTTATCTCTTTATGTTATGTCTCACGACTTTTTTCCTTTCCTTTTTTTTTTTTTTAAATCCAAAAGAGCTCATGAAAACACTTTAACAAAAAAAAATCCAAAAGAGCTCATCATGTATTCTTTTGTATAACTCAATAAAATAAATATATAAGAGATATATATCAAATAGAGGATGTAAGAAACCGTAACTTCATTTCATCATGGATTCCTTTCTTCACATTTCCTAATGACAAAAGATTCAATATTAAAATTGTAGATTAAATCTGTTTTGTTTTTCTGAGTTGAAGATAACATTTGTGCCGTACGTGCTTAGACTTGTGGAGCAGTGGAGGCCTAGGAAATGTTTAGAAATATAATATATTTATAATAATAATCATAATAGACTGAATCGAAATAAAATATTAGTAACAAAAACTGATAATGTAAAAGAACTCTTAACTTGAAATTATATATTTAGTTAACTATGCCTTTAAAATTTTAAGGATTCATCAAAAACTCTTAACTTTAAAATTGTTATAAAGTAAGATTAAAATATGTTTAAGGATCCTTTTAAGGATTCAACCATGCATTGTTGTTGCTCTAAGAGCATGCATCCACAATGGTAGTATATTAGCAAAGGCTCTTAGCAATATTTTTATTATTAATTTTGAAAATTTTAACTTAAAGAGTTTGGGTAAGAGTTTTAATTTTTGGCATTGTCCAATAGTAGTATCTTAAGTTGGAATTCTTAAAAAAAAATGTTTTAAAGTGATTTGGTTCTTAAAAATTTGAATTGTTTTGGTTCTTAAAATTTCTAAGTGTTTTGAAGTGTTTTCCATGACCAAGGCAAAGAGAACATACAAAACATGGTGGCTCTTGAGTTTTAATAATGGTTCTTAATGGTCATATACAAAGACGGGGAGAAAAAGATTAAAGTAGTTGCAGAAGCTTGAAGTTACTTACAAGGGGAACATGGATTTGACGCCCACTCCAGCAACAAGCTTTCTAATATCTAAATGTTGAGTTAAGACCAACATTACGCCTTGAACTTGATTCTCTGAGGCACAACACAATCTGACTCGGGGGATCCTTGAGGAGTAGATTGAACAAAATCTCCAGTGGTGGAAAAACACATCGATGAATATGTTGTAAAGTTTTGTTTCTGCCAAAAATATTCCCAAGAACATCTTAATTAGACACCAATGTCTGCATCATTTATATGTTTCTCATTTATAAGGAAATTTCCTGAGTTTTAATAACATTCAAAGCTCAAGATTCACATCAAATCATTGAAACCTTGTAGATAAAGATAAACCTTTAAGAATTCCTTGACCTTCTCTGCTTGGGGAAAATGTATTCAGTGGCAACAACAATCGCAAAGACATTCGTGTATGCATTGATGAACATATGAAGAGCAGCTTCAGAAGACCCCACTTTCACCCATCTTGATGAGTTCCACAGGTGTGATAATTGACAAAAAACATATGACCATCACAACATTTGGAAGAGAACAATCCAAATGAACACATAATGGTCTGTTCCAACTCTTCTAAAAAAACTCCCGTTGGAGATGGTCAAAGGTTAGTTATGCGGGTCAAAATCAGACAAATAGATTTTCGTATTTACGTGGCATGTGATCAACTAAATGTCATACACTTAATCAAATTGAAATATTGTTAGACGTTTACCTTAGACTCATACTTTTAAAGCATGTTACTAGACTCGACTAACAAATCTCTATCATATCTTTTAGCACAAATTTTGAATAATGCAAATTTAAGCGTCATTTAAATACATGTAGTATCCATTGTACCATAAGAAAATTTATCTAGAAAACGTGGTTTTTTCTCATTAATTAACCTTGGGTTCATATAACTCCACCCCTTTTTTCTTTTTGTTTGTGCAAAAACGTGGTTTTTTCTCATTAATTAAACGTTTAGTACAAAATTTCTTAAAGTACATTTCACAATGGCATCAGCCACACGATTAGCAACGAAATTGAAAGAGATTTTTTGAAAAGTAGAGGGTAAAATTAGGATATCATAGAGAATACAGAATACCATGAAGCTCTATCAAATAGGATAACTTCACCTCCATAACGACAGCTATTCACCTAGAACTCAACCATTCTATACTAATTTACTCTTAATATTGTTACGTATTAAAATTTCGAATTTCTGCGGATTTTGACATACCAAAGACAAAAAAAGCAAATTCTTTATAACAAAAAAGTCAACAAAATTGGTCTTTGACTCGTTTCAATTAAAACCAAATAAAAAAACTTTTGACAGCAAATATCTCTCTGTTCACAGTTACCTGTCTCATTTGGTTTGGAAGTTATTATTAAAAGAAAAAAAAATAAAACAAAAGAATTCGAAGTTTTCTATTAACTTGTAGCTCAAACTAAAATGTTTCCAAATTCTACCAAAGAAGAAGAAAAAAACAATCAAATTTCTTAAGAAATTCACAGAGATTTCGATTTCATATTAAAGCTATATAGCTACACTGTGAAATGATTTCCACGGCGGCTGACGAAGATCCTGAAGGAGGAAGAAGAAGAGACCCTAATAACGACGGCGAGACGACGACGACGACGATACCGGACCTGCGATGGAGATCGTGGATAATCCCAATAGTAGTGATTGCAAACGTAGTCGTTTTCATTGTTGTAATGTACTTCAATGATTGTCCTCACAAAAGCCATCGATGTCTCGCAAAGTTCCTCGGACGTTTCTCATTTGAGTCTTTCAAGTCAAATCCTCTTCTCGGTCCTTCTTCCTCTACGTGAGTCCTTCTCTCTCACAATTTGATTTCGTTTTAAAGTTTAGTTTTTGTGATCTGGGTTTGTGAATTTAGGATTGTAAATTTCAGATTTTAGTCAAAGCCACAATTTTTTTGCCTAAACAAAGATTGTAATTTCAGAGACAACATTTCTTAGTCATGTTGCATTAGGGTTGGTTCTTGAGTATGCATTAGGTTTGGTTTTGAATTGATCTATGAATTTGTAGGTTGGAGAAAATGGGAGCTTTGGCATGGGGGGGAAATAGTTCACAAGCGTCAAGTGTGGAGACTCTTACATGTATGTGGTTGCACGCTGGTGTTATTCATTTGCTAGCAAACATGTGTTGTGTTGCCTTCATTGGAGTTCGTCTCGAGCAGCAGTTTGGTTTTGTTCGAGTCGGGACGATCTATCTTGTATCGGGTTTCTGCGGGAGCATATTATCTTGTTTGTTTCTTCAGAATGCTATATCTGTTGGTGCCTCAAGTGCTTTGTTTGGCCTTTTAGGAGCAATGTTATCTGAATTGTTAATCAATTGGACTACTTATGACAACAAGGTATACGCAGAAAACTCGCACTGAATCATCTAAATTTAGCAACTTGACTATTGTTTGGTTGGTTGATTCTGTTTTTTTTTTCTCTTTTTTGTAGGGTGTGGCTTTAGTAATGCTTTTGGTGATTGTTGGTGTTAACTTAGGATTAGGAACACTTCCTCCTGTCGATAATTTTGCTCACATTGGAGGTTTCTTAGGCGGTTTTCTTCTCGGTTTTCTGCTCTTGATTCATCCGCAGTTCGAATGGGAGGAAAACCGAGTTTCTCTTATGCCTGGTACCATTGTTAAACCGAAGTACAACACTTGCCAACTCGTGCTTTGCATAATTGCATCCATCGTCTTTGTCGCCGGGTAAGCTTCAGAACTTTCTTGATCCTTCTTGATACCAATTACCATATCTTCTCACGCTGGTTAAGCTTCAGAACATTTGTTATGTCCATAGAGATTTGGCGTTTGATTGGGCTACTAAACCGGACTTCTGTTTTGATGAATGTTATACAAATGTGCAGGTTTACTTCTGGGTTGGTGATACTATTCAGAGGAGATAACTTGAATAGATATTGTAAGTGGTGTCATAAACTAAGCTACTCCTCTAAATCCCAATGGACATGACATTTTCTTTTCATTTTTCTTAGTGTTAGAATTTTTTTTGTAACTACACCAATTTTGTCTATTGTACCTCTGGTTTCCTTCATATTCAGAAATTTTTGAAAACAACCAAAGTCTAGGCAAATGACAGAGCCTTGTAGAGATGCAAACATTTTGATTAAGCAAGTTCAATTTGCATTTTAGATTAAATCCACTTAGCTCCAAACCAAGAAAATTAGCAGCAAAGCTCAATCCACTGATCTACAACAAAACCAGGTTAACTAGTCCAACAACGTTTCTCAGTACCTATACCCAATAGGCATCCCGAGACGGTCCAACCGACCTGAACCGGGATAAGCCTTGTTCATAAAACTAGTGTGCAGAGCAGAGCCTTTCTGGGGACCTGACTTTGTATCACCACAGTATGGCACATCGACAAATCCAAACCGTTTCGATGAAGGCCGCTCGTAATATAACTGTGGTCGAGACTTCGGGGCACTTGCAGACCGGGCCTTAGCCCTAGAGGACTCTGTACAAGCCATATAGCTTGGATGGTCACCGTCACAGCAGCTTTTTGTGCAATCGCTTGGTGCTATAGAACTAGCCGTGAAAGCACTGCGTTTGCTTCTAGAAGTAGCTGAGTATAACTGAGGACTGTTCTCTGCAGTGCAAAACTGGCTTGTGATCTCTTCATGCGACGAGGACGGGCTAAAAGGCGTGGCAAAAACTGGTTCAGACAGGCCACCATTGTCTACGATGAGGTGGGATGAGTAGAACATGTCTGGTCTGCTGCGTCTTGTGTAAGAACTGATGTGTTTCCTGTCGATTTGAAGAATCTTTTCTTCTTCGTCCGTGGCTGAAAATGTTTCTCTGTGAGCAGTGTAAAGTCTGTTGTTGTCACTTGCCTTAGAACCATTCCTCTGAAAATTTTAATCCAATCTCTTAGAATTGGGGTTATGTAAGGGTCACAGATAATGATTATTAAGAGTGAAATGTAAGAGCCTAACATGGCTTCAATAATGAGAAACATATAAACCAATTCTCAAGATCGGATTTTTCAAAAGCGATGTTCGTAACTTATGGACACATAAGCAGCAAAACAAGGAAAATCAAAAAGAAATTTATAATTTAATACCTTAAAAAGATGAGAATGACCAAGCTTGGAGCTGCGGGAAGAGATCGAATGCTCGAGTTTTTCCGGCGTTGGTGGACCCTTAAGGATAAACAGAATTGTTAAAAGGGAACCTTAAACTAAAAGACATGTTTTAGGTTACAAAGGAACAATCTTAAGGTAATTAACCAGGCTTACGGGGTTTTGGAAATGAGAAGACTTGGTGTTGTTGGATTGAGAAGAAGAAGATTCAGGCGTGACAATAACCCGAGTGGCACGGACACGAGCCTGAGCTCGAACCAAAGCATGCATCCTGCGCAGATGGACCGACATTCTCTTTCTTTCAATATGACCTCTAACTATCGCTTGAAGCCTAACCAAACCCTTGAGTGCCCTTAACGCTCTCTTTGCCTACAATTAAAATAATCAAACAATCACAAATTGCTTTAAAATGGAGATAAAGCCAATAATCACCAGATCATATTCTAAAAATCAACTCTTAAAAAAACTAGAGTCTTGACCCTTGAGCTCAAGCTCTCATTATGGACAGGACCACAAAAGCATATTGAAATTTGAAAAAGCATTACTTTTGATAGAAGTTGGCGCCAAAAGAAAGGGAAACAAAAAACAAGTTGACCTATAAGGAAATTGAACTTTTGAAATATTCACGAGGAATTCAACAAAAATTAAATAGAGGGACATAAATTAAAACATTTACACGTATAGTCACTCTCTCTACAAGACCAAAGATGAATCGACTATTAATGAACAATGCGACTTTTATGTCTGAGTACACATTTGGGTGTGAATTGTCTTACACACTATATACACTATTATCTTAAAAACCCTCCAAATAAAAAATAAAATGTAAGATTCGCCATAAACTATAAAGTTCAATAGGCATGCATCGAAACATTAATAGACATAGTATTAACTACATAGTCTACATAGAGGCTATGAAATATAGAGAATGAACTGAAATATAGACTAATTATAGCAGCCAGCATTCACCATGTTATTTATACAGTGGTCCAGTGAATAAACATTCACTAACCAAGAGACCAAAAGTACGACCACTTCTTCGTATTGGTTGATGTTTAACTGATTTTCGACTAGGTATTTTTATTTTTTAGACAAATCTTATACCTACTCGTAATTAATTAATCTTAAACTTGTTGAGGATCGAACTCATTGGAAGAATGGATATAAGATAATAAAATTCCTCAACACTGTCCGGACCGGAATCAATTTAAGAGTCGGTTCAACTGAAAACAATTTCTAACCGGTGAATATAAAATTAAGGGAAAAAGCAAATACAATCCACAAAGCAAATTACTTTATAGTTAATTTATACAAAGAAATAAAGAATATTCAAGTGCTCTACTAAAGTAAAATAAAAAATAAAATAAAATGAGAATATAGAAGGTTAATTGTCCTATCACTCGTCTAGGGAAGTGGAAGCAGCAGAAGATTTACGACATCGAAAAATGTTATCTCGACGATAATCCCCGTGAGTTTTAACAAATCCATAACCATTTAATACATTCTTATTCCTAATTAAAAGTATAATCATGCAAAATCGTGTATAACAAACAAAATTATTCAGCTGTCGATAAAAAACAGAAAATTATATACTTTCTTTCACAGAAAATTATGAATCTCAATTTTGTTAAAATATTTTATAAACGAGTAAAAAAAATAACAGAGAAAGAAAATTACCAAGTATCCGCGAAATGTAGATTGTATCTTAATCACCGCAAGTTCTTCACGGCCGTGTCCATAAAACTTGCTAACGTGCGCCGCCACGTCGTCGAATCCATCGCTAAACCGAGCCTTAACAGGACTACGCGTCGACCTCCCGCTCGTGCTCGTAAGCCTGACGACCGCAGCAGCAGCATTAGCGGCGGCGACGGCAGCTTCAGCAACCGCAGCAGTCGCGGCAGCCACCGCAATCGCATGCTTATCCGAATCCTCACCTCCCTCGTCCTCCCACATCGGCTTCTGTTTCCGCCGTCGTCTCGGAGACGACTGGAGGTGTGACGGAGGTGGAGGCGTCGAATTAGGTAGTGGCGGAGTAGGAGGAACTTGATTCGTTGTTGCGGTTTCTTTTTCGCGTTTGGATTTGACGAAACTCCATCGGCGTTTTGGATTAGAGGAAGTTGACCGAGAAGGCGTCTCGACGGATGGATCCGGATAACCCGAGTCGGGTTTTTTGACTCCGAAGAGACTCCTAAACCACCGTGAAGCTTTTCCCATTACAAAAGACACTTACTTTGACGAATCAAACAACAACGTTTTCTTCTCGCCGGAGTTTTGCAGAGAGAGAGAGAGAGACAACAAAAGAGAGCTTTGTAATAAGAGTTAAGTACTCGCAGCAGTATCATCAAACAGTGTTCTAATTAGTACCACACGCCTCAATCGCGCGTGTGTCTCACTCTCTATCTCTCTTCTCCCGGGAAATTTCGTTATTTCTTCACATTGTTTATTTTCGTCGTGTAATTTCCGTGTACTCACTAGTGTTAGTATATAGTATCATCCCAAAAAAAATCCAATGTAAATGAAACACATTAGTCGAACAAAAAAAAATGAAGCACATTATAATGAGACTAATTGAATTCCTTTTTTTTTTTTGGGCAAAGACTAATTGAATTCCTCTGAATCTACATGTAAAGATTTTATTTGAAAAATGGTTACACTATTTGGTCATGTGAATCTGAGGAAATAAAATTGTGACGAGTCCTAAAGAACAGAGAGATGACAAAAAGCGTCAATACTTTTAGAGGACCACACTACTACGGACCCCATAACGGGTGGCGTCACTTGTATGGGTCCATCGCCGTAATCCAATGACTATCGTTAATAATCCATCCATGATCACGTTTTCGTTGGTCCCTACTCCGTTTTTCGTCTCTTAACGTAATAGCGCCGTCCGTTGCTACGTCGTTTTGTGTAGTGGGAAATCGAAGTAGGAATATAATTCTTTCACTATTTTGACATTTGTGTGTTCTTGTTTTTGTTCTTCTCTTGTCTTTCAAACATAAATGTATTATGTATGTATGTATGTTATAGGACAAAGAGAAAAATTGTTTGTTACTATCAGATTTATATGGAGGTTAATATTTTGGACTGTAGAGTGAGATATTATTGCATAACAAATAGTATATATTTTGTGAGTAGTTATTTTCGCCGAATACGATTGGAGATTGGATTCGTTATTTGGTTATAGTTGTACGAATGAAAACTACGTAGTTTATCTACATATACTAATTCACAAAAGTATATGGCCATTAAAATATCAAAACAATAGACAAGAAATTTGTCCAAAATACTTAAATTACAATAGATACAAGGATATTTTCCGAGGAGAGATGCGGACTCCTATTCGTATATACTGGATTTTATAGCTTCTGTCAGAATTCAGAAATCTTGCTTTTAAACTAAATAAGCTAACTAACCAAAAAGAACTTAGCATATGTTTCAAATGCATAACCATAATTAAGTAATGAACAAGCACTATTAACAAAGATATGTCTTTATGTAATCATAATGAATCCTAAGGTTCACGTGTACTACTTTAGAGAATCTAACTCGTAGTCGTAAAAAGGGAAAAAAGAAATGGACCGACAATTAATCCACTGGAAACTTCGGTATGTCTCATGCAATGAGAAAAAGACAGGACAAAGACTCAGAGAGACGAAGAGGTACATCAGACTAAACGGCCGTTGCGATTTTGCCACGTGTCATACAAGTACAAAAACTTGAGCCTGCATGAATCTTAGTTAGTCGTATATAGTAGACTGCCAGTGGACGGTGGTGGTTCTTTAGCTTTTTTACGGATTTGTTGACTTTGGTCAACGGCTTCTCGTGTATGAACTCGTTCGTACGTGTCTCCTCGCATTCTATCTCTAATTTAATTCAGTCAAAATTATCAGCGGAATTATTGTTTCCCCCAAAAGTAACATTTAATCAGTGTTGGCAAAGTATTGATGTTATAGTAATAATGCAAGTTGATCAATCATAGAGTTGAAGCATGAAATCTGGATTGGAACGTAACTAATCAACGAAGATTATAATTTATTAATAAGAAGCATCCAAATTTCGGTTTCTCTTTTTGAAATTAGATTGCAAAAGAAAATGTGAAACTCGTTTATAAGATTAATATCGTTAGTTGTTGCGCTCAAACTTTCACGCCATGCAAATAAAAAATGGTTTAAGGTACTATAGATCCAACAATACAAGCGATTATGGAAGGGTTTAATTTGGTTGGTAATTTGGTATGGCCCTGTTCTTTTAGGTGTCGCTGCGACACACTCCGGCGACTGAAAAATACAAAGAAAAATGATATAACTGTCGTGAGATTTTAAACTCCATAGAGAAAGGGGCTGTCGCTGAGTGGAAAACAAGCTGCTGCTTTTTCCAGCTACTGAAAAAATGGTCGCAGCCTCACCGTAATCATTAACAGCGGCATGCTCCCCATATTCTGGGATCACAAAACCCTTGTGTTTACAGCTTATTTCCGGTCGCTTATTTGGGTCGCTAGCGACTGAACACCGAACATGGCCATACATCATTGGGACAATGCGATAGGTTATCGTTGTTAATCCCTTCCAAATTCGCATATACAATATGCGGATAGGATAAAATTTGAGATGTTCAATAAACTTTAAGAATATATGAATAGGAATGAACTGAAACTACCTTGGATTAATTTGATATATATTCTATTTGTTAAAAAAAAATTTTTGATTCGATTTATTCTTCCTTGTTTTCATTTAGTTGTGGGATTAGATTTTTCAGTCAAAAGAAAAATTTAGAAACCAACTAACTAAATTAAACCAGAATCTAGTATGCCTAAAAACAAAACAAAAAACTTTACTGACCTATCAAAAAGCATTTCATTATTTCAAGCATAACAAATTACTGGGATAGTCATGTTTTCTTGTTAAGTCAACACTGACATTATTTCCTATCATGAGCATCAATCATACCTAATCAATATCTTACAAGAAAAAGAGTGAAAGATTCCATCTTCGAAACTTTAATCTGCTCTAGTTCTGATAAATAAATTTTATTGATGTTCGGAAGAAATTACTTTTCCATTCTACAATGACTTCAGATTATTTTAAATTAAATATGCTCTCACTGTATTACGGTGACGGAGTATCCCTTACAAGATTCCGCTTGGGTAATCGACACGGTCATCAATCAATCAATCACACAGAATAACACATACACATGGTAAATAAATTGGCATCAAAAAATAAAATAAAGGTAAAGATGTTTCAATTGAAATGTTGTTACATAATTGAAATACTACGAAATACTTGCAACGCAAAAGAGCAAAAAAGTTTATTTGTCTAGAGGTCACAAGCATGTGCTTGTAAACGAAGTATTACTATGCAGCTCGATGTGATTTGTTCTGACCTAACCAGACAAGCAGACAAATATTTTCATTCCCCTAAAATTTTCTTCGTTTTTCAATAATCTCTAAACCAACGTACATGCACCTTACAATCTTACATAATACATACTCGGTATAATAGATCCATCTACGTATCCTCTTTATGTAGATGTAAGTGCGTCAATTTCAAGATGCTGAATTGAGGAATTACGAATAAGAGATTGAAAAATAAAGTTTTGTGTAGGGTTCTGACTCTTTTATAGTAGGTGCTGAGAAGCTACAGAGGACGCAGTGATGGGAAGCTGTAATGAGAGAATAATAAAGCAAAAGAAGCAATGCCTACGAATTGTCACTCGTCTCCTTCTCTTACCCCATAAAACAAACCAACTACATTACAAATCACTACAAGACACCATCAATCTCACAGTTTTTTTTCGTATTTCTCTTTTTCACTCTTTTATTTCTTAAATTACATCTGGGTCCTCCTCTGCCCTTTTAGATCCCATTTTACAACTTACTCATACTCCGAAGAACGAAACCAGATTTTATCATAAATAGTTTAACTAAACTAACCTAAGATTCTATTGTATATCTTACTTTGATTCAGCTATTTTTGCTTTCTTTCTTTTAATGAAAATATATAGTAGTTTGGTATAACACAATGAAACATTTGTATAAGTGATCAGGACGATGATTTCTTTTTCTTCCACGTCCTTTGCTTTGTGAACTATTCTTTAACCATGTACTGTTTACCTTCTCAATCGTCGTCTTCTTGCGCACCTGACCCTGGTTTACGGAACAGACTCATCATCTGACTAATTAGTTCCTCAAACGATGGTCGTTTTGCTGGATCACTGTTTCGAGAATTTAGAACAAAGATTGTGTTAAAACGCCCCTCCAAAGTTTTGAGGGTGTATTTGATGGAACAATTTCTATAATATCTTCTTACGTTTGCCAACAATCCTGTATTATGGATGCGATCCGGGGATTTAAACCTTCTGGTAAGTCTAAACGTCGGTCCATGAACCCGACAACTCCAACAACCTAATTAAACGTTGATAGGATTAACTACAATCTCATTATTAAGCTATACTCTCATAAGGACAGAATCAAAGAGGTACCTGAATAGAGTTTAGACGGTCCCATGGTATTAAAGTAGTCATTAGCTCCCATAAGATGACTCCGAAGCTGAACACATCACACCTATTACACAGAAAGTATGGAGTTTTTAGTCCAAACAATGTTCAAAGTGATAGAATAATGTAGTCAAAGAGAACAAGAAAGGGTTAATATTATATCGAACGTACTTCTCATTCGAAGGCTCACTTCTGAGAACTTCAGGAGCCATCCACTGCGGCTGCACATAGAAAAAATGAAAAATGTTTAGTAACAGAAATCCAAGACGGTTTTGTAGATTATAAGAATCAGAAATGGCTTTTGTGAAACATTACAGTTCCTTTCCCAGATTTAGTACTTAAGAAGGTTGCGTTCTTCCACTTTGACAACCCAAAGTCTCCAACCTACGAAAGAAAGAGTTGTAAGTAAGTGAGATAATAAGCTCATTTTACAACTCTTCATGAATGCGACTTAAGGAAAATGAAGCCCTTGTACCTTGACATTCCAGTTTCTGTCCACGAGTAGATTGGAAGATTTCAAGTCTCTATGTACTATTGGCGGATTTCTGCGGTGTAAGTAATTCATTCCCCTAGCCTGCAACAACAACAACAGAGAACCCAGATTCGCTCAGCCTTTCATATGTTTTTCTTTCATTGTAAGGGAGGTCTTTGGAAGATCAGAGTCTTACAACATCAAGGGCCATCCTTAAACGACGTTTCTTGTCCAATGGCTGGTTCGTACTATGAAGTATTTTGAAGAGACTCCCTCTGATCATCAAATCGGAAATAAATAAATTAACACAGGGTATTAATCTGCAATTTCTTGCGGCATAATATAACAAACTCAATAAGGAGAAACTACATCCAGATCCAGAGGTCAATAATCTCACCTTGGCATATACTCCATGATTATGGCAGATTTTTCTTCTGTGCATACCGCTCCCATAAATAACAGCACATTTGGGTGTCTCAGTTTCTTCATAATGTTGATCTGAAGACATTGATCCCAACTGATTTATTTTGTCTGGCACAGATGATTTCTCCACACACTTACAACAGCAGAGAGAATCAGAGAACCAAATATGCGTACCTCTTTTTTGCACTCCGTCAAAGTCATCACATTGTAATCACCCTCGAAGTAAACCTTAATAGCAACATCCTGGTCCAGAACGATTGGACTAGTTAATTACCTATGTGCACTAATACAAGAACCATCTTTGAATTATCTTTAAACTATAGAAAACTTACCGATCCATTCCAAACTCCACGATGAACCGCAGCAAATGAACCTGCGAGCAAATATAACGCATCAGAAATACTTGTAATCTGATTTAAACATTCAAGACACTGATTTGTATTGAATCTGCAAATCTAAAACGTGAAAACGAGTGTAAGACTTTGGTTAACAAAATACACCTCGTCCGACCTCCTCCCCAAGTTGTAGATCTTCCCATCGTATATCACATGACGAATCGGTAACTAATCTATTACTCCCTTGGTTGGCAGGACTTTGTCGCCTACCGATGTTAACTCCAAGAATTGGCAAGGGATCGTCACTAGGACGAGTATTCCAAGCATCTTCTATCTCACCATTTAGGTCCGACATTTTTGTTCCCCGCATGCCAGACACCAAACCACTCTCTAGTCCTCTGGGAGGCTTCCCTTGTCCCAGGTTCCCAATATACTCAAAACGGTCTCCATTGTGTATCAAACCGTCAGCTCCATTTCCATAGACATCTGAAAATCTAATTTCAGCCCTTTGTGGTTTTCCATTGCCGTTGTCTCTGAAAGCCGTGCAGGTAACTGCATTAGAAGCCTTAGAACTAGCTCCACTGCCACATGCTGACTTATTTATACCGTTTCCTAAGATAGGCTCATTATCTTCATTTCCTTGGCTGCCACTAATCTTCCTTTGCAGCTTTCCCAAAAACTTATCCGCCTACACTAGTATATATGCAGATTCAGCTTATAACACGATACAATAATTGTTCTAACAAATGTCAATTTGTCTTGTTTAAGTAGACAAAAAATACTTACCAGTGAGCCATACTTCTCGAAAGTTGTAGAGGCAACAACCGGAACATTTTCATCTCGTCTCCTAGAATTTTGATTTGCATTGAAGGAATCATCTCCATTTCTCTGTGGTAAAAGCTTCGAAGCCTTCTTGGTTTGTGCACAAAACAGCAAAACAAACAATCATTCATCTTCCACACTTTATAAACAAAGAGGACAAGAAACTTCAAACATTCATGATGCGAGATTTACCAGGTTTGAAGCAACAGCTGATGAATACTGTGGGACAACTGGAGCCTGTGATCCTGCAGCGATCTGGGGCCTTGGGAGGTGCCACTGATGCTTTCGGAAGTTTGATTCATGTCTATTACTACGTGCTTGTTGTTGATGCTCATTACTTAATGGATGCATCCTATTGAAAAGTGTTGCATCGCTCGAGACAGTAACAACACCAACGAGCTCGCCACCTTCATACACAGGGCTTTTAGTCACCAACGCCATGAATAGTTCACCTGTTTTTTTCCGAAATGGAAACTGACCAGTCCAAGTCTCTCCACGGCAAACCCTGTTCCTGATACCAGTAAGGGAATTACGGTATTCTTCGGTTACAAGCACATCAATTGTTCTGTAGCCAACAACTTCCTCAGCATACCAGTGGTACAGATTCTCAGCAGAACGACTCCTGAATATATAAAAAAGTCTCTTCACTCAGAAACATATAGTAAATGTCCACTTGCATATATACAAAGAACCGCTATATAATCACAAAAAGGAACAAAATCTTCATTCCTAAGCCGATTAAGATATTCAACTCTAGAATTTTCAACTGTAAAATTCACTAAATGAACTAAAATCACCAGAGAAAACACATCATGACACATAATTTCAATGGAACAGTACTTAGAAGAACTATAAGCTCCTGATTTAACTAAAACATCTACAAGCACCATAGATGAAGACGAAGAACTCATGAGGCTCACCAGAATTTAATTTCACCAGACGCAGCAGAAGTTACATGAATCGCGTGACCCATTGAATCCATCAAGGTCCGATACGCACTATCAGCGAAATAGAATCCTGAAACAGCTCTCTCCCAAGTCGCCGTCGGATTATCCCATGAATCTGCAGCCTCCGCCTCAACTTCCGCCACCGTCTCAGCCTCCGCCGCCGATTCCTTACCGGTTCGACTCTCCTCCTGAAGCAATAAGTCATCCACATCCTCCCTTAGTCTCGCTTGACTCGTCTCCATTCTCTGACACCACTCCACCAAAACCTGGTAAAGACTCGATTCCGAGTTGTTTCCGGCCATCGTACTCGCCGGAGACTCTGTTTGAGCAGTCGCATCAAGATCCGCCTATAAAATTCACAAATTAAAATATAATTTAAAATGTTGTATTCCCTCATTGTTTATTATTTTTCATCTGCTTCTTAATCACTCGTGACGCCATAATTAACAAACCCAACTATAATAAAACACTACGACGCATTAAGCTTACGCCACGTGTCTTCGCGCTAATAGGATGCTGCCACTTGTAGAATTGCCGATGAAATTGATGTTTGAAGAAGATTGAGATAAGTAGATAACAATAGACGAATTTGTCAGCATTCAGAAGTGGTGATTGACGAAATTGACTTTGATGAACTTGAAATTACGATATAGCCATGTAAGTGAATGTGTCCGTAACTCAAAAGTACAAGTCGAATGAAGGACAATAACAATTAATTATAATTGAATTGAAATAAAATCAATTATTAGTAGTCTTCAAATCATTGTAAAATATACTACTTGTCTATTTTCCATAAGGTTCTCAGGGAAGGAAAGTTTTAATAATTCGAGTCACTTGGATTTGTTTCAATTTGTCTTAACTCTAAACACTTTATTTGTTTCTTTTACTACAAACGAGAGCATGGCAATATATAGAGAGTATGTGTTTGATTGTGTTGTTTGGGGACGTTTTTGGAAAGCCACAATACTACGTTGAATTGAGGATAATTTTAAATATTTTAGTTTTTGGTTTTGGTTTCTATTTTGTTGGGCCTTAAAGCCTTTACACTTTAAAGGCTTATTTCCATATATTTACTGTCAAGATTTGACAAAAAAATGCGGTAACAAACCTGTAAATAAATTATGTAATTGGTGTGAGAAATAAAACAATTAATATCATGTAAGATAAGTTTACGAAGATATTACCAATTTTACTATTTTCAACCGAATTAAATTGTTTTCTTTTTTTTTGTGGTGAATAATTAATTTTTTTTTCTTTTATTCAGATTGGGACACCCCAAATATTATCTTAACTATGGAAATATCCTGAACAACACCAAAAATATACAAAAGAATAAAGAAAATAAAGTTAAAGAAAATCAAAACCAAAAAAAAAAAAAAAGTAAAGACCCTAAAAAGGCTTAAAATATCTTGAGTCGCCGATCCAATTCCTTTATTCACTGCAATATTTGCGATATACATACATTATTAATTCTTGCCTCCTCCTTCACTCCAGCTCCGAACACAAATCTCCGACGAAAACCTCTCTCAAGCTTTTCTCTTTTTCTCTTCTTCTCTTCTCTTTAATGGCGACACCTACTCAGGAAGCAATTGACACCTTTATGACCATCACCGGTGCTTCCAATGCCGTCGCCGTTCGTAAGCTTGAGGTGATTCGATTACACTTCCCTGGATTTTTTCGTCTTCCTTCTTCTATTGTTAGATGTTGTTTTTTTTGTTTTTGATTGAAGTATTTTTGGAAGTTTCTCGAATCGCTGAAGTGGTTTGGTTTGTTAGATGATTGTTTGATCATCGAATTCTTTCTCCTCTACGCTTTTTTATATCGTTGTTAAGCTCATGTTGATGCGTTTAGGTTGCAATTGAAGTTAATCATGTTGAATTTTAGGTCATTCGATTATCTGATTTGAGTTTTTACGAGGGTTCTGTTGTTTCCTATTGCTGTGTAGTTCTTACAGAATTCTCATGCTTATCGATTTTGGTATTTGAACGAGTTTATACTTAACGTATTGTGAAATTAGCTGGGAAAAGTTTTGTTCTTTTCTTTTTTTGGTCTGGATTTTTGGTATTTTACTGATATAGATGGGGGATGATAACTACTAGCTGAATGATGCTGAGGGGTTTAAGGTAGTTGTTGAAATCAATGTACTACAAACTTCTCAGAACTCATCTTGTGTACAATTTTAGTTTGTGTTTATAACTTTTTATTGGGTACAATTTTAGTTTGTCCTTCTCATCTTTGAGTCATCAATCTATTGTCTCAACATCAATATGACTTATAGGTTTTTGTTGTGGCTGGTGTCCCTCGTGTTTGCCAAAACTTACATGCTTTCATTGTTGCAGGAGTATCGTGGGAATCTCAATAGAGCTGTGAATGCATACTTTACTCATGGAGATCAAAATTCGTATGCCCTCCCACTGTTTATTTTGCTACCTAGTCTTATACGGTTTTACACATGTATGTGACACGTTCTTATCATCTTTGTGCAGGCTCCATGAAGATCCAGCTAATATCCCTCAGGATGATGCTATGGATATAGATGATGGTGTGACTCCAGTCCTCTCAGAAGCTAGAACAACGGTCCCGTTCCCGCTTCAGGATCCAAACTTTGGGACAAGTCTATTTGATAATGATCCTCGTATGCCACGTCCCCCATTTGTTAGTCATCTAAGGGAGGTCAGGCAGATACCTATAGAGGTTAAGGACAGCATTGGGCCATCAGGTCAATCTAATGGTGCTCCTACTATTGAGGATGTGACCGAGACATCTCAAGCTCATGGTCCAGCTGCCCAAGAGGCGGTCATTATAGATGAAGTGAGTGATGATGATAGTCAGTCTGCTCCAACCGGACAAAGTAGGCATGGTGTACCTGTTGGTTCTGCACACAATAATTTGCAATATTACAATGATATAGAAGAACAAATGATTCGAGCTGCTATTGAGGCCTCAAAAATGGAGACTGGCGATGACGTAACAAAATCTGTCACAGTGCAGTCAGCAGAGGAAGAAGTGTTGCGCAGTGAAGGTTGGAAGGCTTCATCCTCAGAAAGAGAAGCTACTGAAGTGGTTTCTATTCCAGAACAGCAGGGTACCCGAGCCTCAAATGGAAGGTTAGTTGTTCTGTTTTGTAACTCCTTTTGTAGTCGATCAGTTTGTCTTCTGTGTTTCCTAGACAATGTTCCAAGAAATTGTTTTTATATGTGTAGATTCGCAGCACCTAGCTCACTGTCTGAGGATGATGACGATGACGATGACCCTGATTATGTTGAGGAGGAAGAGGAACCCCTTGTTAGGCACAGACCAAGACGTGCGGTTTCTGGATCTCGGAGCTCACTTAATGATGATCTTCCCCGTAGCCCTGAAGCAGAAGGTGCAACTATTCATTCACCGGATGCGGGCAATGGTTTTCCTTCCGAGGTAGCAAAAGATATATGTTTGTTTCCTATATGAGAACGATCAGATTACCTGTATTACGTTCAAGTAGGTATCCTAGAGTAGTTATTCCATTCCTGAGCTAATACTCTTATTACATTATGGTATAAGTGGGGAGGCATTTCTTCTGAGGAACATGATGAAGCTATCATGCTAGAGGCTGCCATGTTTGGTGGCATTTCTGAGAGTGAATATGGTGTTCCTTATGCACATTATCCGCAAAGGGCACAGCGTCCACCCTCACCGTCATTGACAGCTCAGAGGTTGATTCGAGAACAGCAGGTTAGGAACATTTTTTGTGTCTTTCCTCCCCTAGTCGATTGGAGAATACTTTTTATTTGATCTATTCTTGTGACAAGAATAATAGAAGTAATGGGCAAAGAGTTTCACCCCTTTAGGTCATCGAAAGAAACTGATGATGATGAGTTTTTTTTATGTTAAAATGTTAACTCGTGCAGGACGATGAGTATCTTGCATCGCTGGAAGCTGACAGGGTAAAAGCTGAGGCTCGTCGATTGGAGGAAGAAGCTGCTAGAGTGGAAGCTCTTGAAGAAGCAAAGAGAAAGGAGGAAGAAGCTCGCAGGAAGGTCGAAGAGGAACAGGTGCGCTTCTGGTTATACATGAGTCTCTCTAATCCCGTGTGTGAACAGGTTATCCCGAGTGTATTGTTTGGAGTGGTTACTAAGATCCATCACTTGGATGGAGAAAGAGTAGCCAAACCACATAAACCTTTGGAACCAATCCCATTTCACTCAAATTCTTGAAAGTTGGCCCGCATATAAGCCAATGTTTTTTTCCTTACTAGGAGCTGGAGAAGCAATTAGTTTCCAAGGAAGCGTCTCTGCCTCAGGAGCCACCAGCAGGCGAAGAGAACGCCATCACACTTCTAGTCAGATTACCAGATGGCACCCGCCATGGCCGCCGGTTCCTTAAATCCGACAAACTCCAAGTGAGTATCCCAAAAGCAGCTTCATTTATCCTCAAAATATTTGAAAAACCTTATAACCACTAATCATGTCTTCTTTCACATTTGCAGTCACTTTTCGACTTTATAGACATCTGTAGAGTTGTGAAGCCCAACACTTACAGGCTGGTAAGGCCATATCCTCGGCATGCTTTTGGAGATGGGGAATGCTCATCGACTCTAAACGATGTCGGTTTGACAAGCAAACAAGAAGCATTGTTCTTGGAGCTGATCTAAAATGGTTATTCTATTGGGGTTACATATCTTATTCTTTTAAATGTCCTTCTTCTTTTTCTTCGTAGAAGTTGTTACTCTTTAAATATTTATTGTTTTATTTAATCCAAGGCTGGCTTTTAAAAGTAAAGGTTTTTTTTTTTTCCGCCGATATATATCTTCGAATCAGAAGGGCAGTTTCTATTGGTTTTGTTGGGTATAACATATATCATATTCAAAGTTGAAGTTTGGGAATAGAAGTTCAAATTTGGTTTTCTGAATCATTGTAGCTGGATCGAAATTTAATTGTGTTTATAAAATTTATAAGATCCAAAAGATTATGTAAGCGGCTTAGAAGATCAATCACTTGTTTTTCAGAGGAATTATATAAATGTGGAAAAAATAATTGAAGGGAAGTGAGGTGGTGATAGAGAATGAAAGACATTAGAAGCTAAGGTTATATAAAAGCAAGTTGGGACAGTTGAGGAAATAAGATTTGATTTTAGTGGCAAATTCATAACTAATTCTCCTTTCTTCATGTTTCACCTTATGGGCCTTTTTTGTTCCTTGCCACCACACCATGAAGTTTGTTACATTCTTAATAGAGAGAGTCTATAATGCAAAATATCATATTCTTATAATAATAAGTTATAACCAAGTGGTTGTTATTTTATTATTCAGATTTGAATTCTAATTTGGTATTTTGTAACCTCATGTGAATTTTACACCCAAATAAAAAAAAATGGACTGAAACGGGTCGGGTTGGTGGAAGAAAAGAGAGTAAACGAAGAAGACGACAAAGAGACCGGGTCGTTCACGGCGTCGGCTGTCACAAACGACGACCTTGACGCCGACGTTAATATTTTCTCGCCGTCGTCAAAGTTACACAAATCTTTCCGTTACTTACACGCGCCTTAAACGTCACGCGCCTATAGAAGAGGACCACTAAACATGGTGTTTAATAATTATTTTATTTTCTTCTTGCATAAGAATTTCCCGGCAACGAAACCAACTTCTATCTTGTCCTTTAATTGCTTAACCAGATTAATATATATTACACTCGAACCACTTGAAAAGGATAGTTTTATGTTTACACATTAAATTTTAAAAGTCATTCTCATGACAACAAGTCACTCCCATGATATTTTTTGTAATGACAGAAGATTAATTTTTACTATCAAATCAACAGTATTTGTAACATTACATTGCCTTTCATTATCAACAATGGAAACCTTATAAAAAACATATAAATCCAATAAATCTCACAAATCATAAATTTCAAAATCCAACAATCAAATGTTTCCTCCTAAAATAATGAATTAGAAGAGTGTACAATGAAACGAATCTCGTTAGTGCCAATAAATCAAAACAAGGTGGCATTCAAATGCCTATAATTCCCACTTTCTTCTATATCCAAAGAATCCAACAACAACGGTGTCGTATTACCATCATCTTCATCACCATCACATGATCTAGTCATGAGTTGTTTTGCTCTATGAACCTCAACTTCCCAATCAGTCTTAGCCAACACGACCAACATAGAAACCAGGCACGAGCCTTGCGCTGCAAACAGACCGAGCCATAGTCCTTTGAAGTCAAACCCGCTAAAGAAACTTAACCATATAGCCACAGGCATTCCCACAAAGTAGAAACAACACAAGTTTATGTTTGCTCCTAATTTAGGTCTCGCACTTCCTCTCAACACTCCACACACTGTGGTCTGAGGACAGTTTCCTAGCTCGCAAAGCCCGATGATCGGTAAAACCATAGAAGTCAACTTCACAATCTCTTCCTCATCCGTAAACAATCTAGCCCAGCAATTCCTCACCATGAAAGCAAAAAACATGGCGAATAAACCAAAACCTAGGCTTAAACCAAGTCCAGTTCTCGCGGCTATCCTTGCTTTATCTGGCTGATTCGCACCTAGTTCATTCCCGACACGTGTCGAAAGGCTGATACTCAGAGAGGAAGGGAAAATGTAGATCAAAGCGGTTGTTTGGATCAAGATTCCCATAGATGCCACGGTTGCTTGCGGGTTAAGTAACAATCCACAAAGAAGAATCATGATTTCATACCACCACCATTCTAGACAAACTGAGACGCAGCTAGGGATGGCTAGTTTCATTAGAGATCTCCATCCTTTAAAGCAATCCATTGAGAATCCTCCCCAAGTCTTCTCGTAAACACCGGAAAACACGATGTAGATGATTAGAAACCCTAGGAGATTGACATTAGTCCAGATTGCTCCCAAGGCGACTCCTTTAAGGCCGAGACCGAGGGAAGAAACGAGAAGGTAGTTAATCGGAATGTGTAGTAATACGGCGAAGAAAGCAGAGTAGGTAAGAGGAAGAGTGATCGATTGAGATCGGAGGTAAATACGGATAGGATGTAAAAAAGATTGAAGAATCAGATCAGGGAGAGAGAAGAGGATAAAGATCTCAGCTTGGTTCGAGATTTCTTCGTCTTGTCCGAAGAAGAGAAGGATGTTCTTGATGTTGAGCCAGAGGAGAGAGATGGGAAGAGAACAGAGGAGAAGCAAAAGTGTGGTTCTTTGCAAAGCAAGGCCTAAAAGTTTGAATCTTTTGGCGCCAAAGGCTTGAACGCAGATGGGTTCCATGCCGATGGAGAGACCTGAGAGGAGAGAGTAACCGGTGATGTTGGCGAAACCGAGTGCGAGTGAGCCGCCGGAGAGAGCAGAGAGATCGTTGAGACGGCCGAGGAAGAGCATTGAGATCATTGAGCGAGAGTAGAGAAGTAAACCGGTTAAGATCAGTGGGAGAGATATTTTGGCGATTGATTTGGCTTCTTGGATCGAAGAGGAGAGATGGGTCGGGTTCGGGTTCGGATCTTGTCGGTGATCTGTTTGGTTCTTGATGATCAACAAAGGAGCTGCCATGATTACAGGTTTGAGAGAGAAGAGAGAGACAGAGAAAGGGGATGATGAAGAAGGTATTGTTATGTGTGAAAGGTGTGTTATAAGTTTGAAATTAAGTCACTAATTAAGGTTAATAGTGTGATTAAGGCCCTTAAGGGAACAAGAGAAGTTTTTTGACTCAGAAATTAAGTCTTGGTTATAACAGAACTATTTTGGCGGTTTTTTGACCGGCCATTATGTCATTGTATGACTACGTCTTAATTCAGAGACACTATTATATTTTCATTTGTGGAAATACAATAAATAGTTTCCAAGAAAATATGATTTTTTGGATGTCTATTTGGAATCATTTTACTTTCTTCATATTTTCTTCATGTGTTTTCAATTTGGGGCAAAGTTTCTAAGAAAATATTAATATTTGGATTTATTCACGTTTAATTTATTGTTAGATACATACAATACAACTCAGCATAGATAGAGTTGAAACTTGAGACGTTTTCGGATTTATATTCTTTAAATAAAATACCAGTGTAACAAATTGACTCATGTCGTTTCTTCCTCACTTTTAATAGTATTAAATTTGACTATTATGGGGATCTTTCATGTGCAAAAAAAAAAGGATTCTTTACAAAATCAAATAATTAAGTGCTCGAAGAAGTAGTAAGCTAATGGGGATGGACACAGATCACATACCAAAAATTTAAGCAGCTGTGTAGAGAAGGTTGTTATCAAGTTGTTACGAAATACTAATTAAGATTTAAAATTTATGGACCATTTTATATAAAACTTGGGAAGATGTTGATGCTTGCAATAAAGTGGGAAGAATTAAATGGAATATTATACCTACTTAATACATATTCTAAATTTCAAAACAATTTATTGGACCACCCTATTCATATGAATAGTCGAGGGGAAAATTATAGTTTGGCAAAAAAGAAAGGCTTGCTTTCATAATTAGTTTCAAGAGAATATTTTTTTATGAGTGTTTATATAATTTTGGAATAAGAATTTATTGTTTGTGCATAGATATAATACGATGTCACATGCTTCATCACCTCTATAGAATGTGGACCATTAATATAGCTTAAGTTTGAGGATGATGGGGAACAAAAATAACATTATCTTATCACGAGCTATGTCGATCGTTTATTATATTATAATAAAAGAATTAACAACTGTAAATAGAAATAGAAACTATATTAAATAGAAATAATGATAAAAAAAATATAAATATAAATGGTATGAAAAAATAGAAATAACATATATTTAATTCTGAAAATTGATAGTCTCCTATAAAATTGATTGAAAATTTGATTTGGAAACCCTAATCATTTCAGAAAATATAAAGATAATATCTCTGAAAAACGTAAAATTTACTTTTATCAATGTATTTGTATATGTGACAAAAGATACTTGATTTTTCTTTTTGACTAAAATTGTTGCCAAGTACGTGTAGACCTATATAGTTAAAGTTAACAATGAATCACAATTAGATTAAATTATGAAAAATTGATTATGTTTATTGATGTGAAATTTCCGAGATTTTAAGAAAGTATTTAGAACTATCTTAAATATCAAATGTCATTAACAAATTATGTGAAAATACTTTATGTTCTTACGTAGACTTAAACTTAAGGTTAAGGTAATCTTGACAAGAAAAAAAAGGTAAGGTATCTTAGGAATCTAATAGAGTATTTATGTTAGTTGAACAGGGTTTTTTTTTTTTCCTTCTCACAATTAACAATTGTGTTCCTAATTTTCTGTTTGATTGTAGTTTTTCTATAATCAGTATATATACCGCATATATATAATGGTTGTTCATCCATATACATTCTAGAAACAATATAATCATATGATCAAGGTAATTAAACAACAATATCTTGTGAGTAAAAGATGTCATATAGTCAAAAATGTTCAAAAATCTATAATATCCTTCGCATAGAATGTATCAACACCATAAAGATCCAAAGTAATAGGAGGAATCCTAATTGTCTAATTTATGCATTCTCATGCATCTAGCTTTAACTAAACAAACCTTTGTGTCATGTCGCTTGGTGACTTGGGTTTAGATTAACCATTATCCGATAAGCTAAGAGTATAAAGTAATCTTTATTATTCAATAACTTAATTTAATACAATTAACGCCTATATTACTATATATATTTAGAACTTGTCGTGGGATCTAAG